CCTAGCCTAGCTCATTGACAGCCCCAAACCAGACCCAACCCATTAATAACCCTAAATATTAGGCTCGGGGAGATAAAGAAATAATTCGTTAGTAAAATAAATTGTTAATTAATTTAACAGTTTAGTAAATTAAATAAATAAAAATCGATGGATTATATTTTACTTAATTTATTAAAATAAATAAATGAATGTTTTAATTTAGAAAAATAAATAAATAAATAAAAGATCATTTATTATTAGGATTGGATGGGTACAGGCTATCCCAACTAGACCTATTCATGGGCTAGCTAGCCCATTGATAGCCCTAAATTAATTAATTAAATAATTTGAGATAGCCTTCAATGAAATTTTATTTGTTTACTTTATTAAATTAAAATATTCATTTATTTATTTTAATAAATTAAATAAATTATTATCCATGAATTTTTATTTATTTAATTCAACCCGAGCCCAATATTTAGGGTTGTCAATGGGTCAGGTTTGGTTCTGGATAGCTCCGACCAATCCTGTCCCAATTATTTATTTATTTTACTATATTATCCATATATTTTATTATTTAATTTACTTAATTATTCAATTAATTAATTAATAATTTATTTTACTAATAAATTATTTCTCTCTCTATCTCTCTCTCTCCAAGCCTTATATATACTCTCTTGCTTGTTTGTCCTCTATCCCCGATCCCTACAGTGTTCTGAATCTCTGAATTTTTTTAGATAATAGTATTTTCTTGAAAAATAAATTTATTTAAAATATATAAAAATTTTAAATTATAAATAATGTTTTAAATATGTTTTGAATATATATAATATACATTTAATATAAATAACACACACATATATATAATCAGGGTTAGGGTGGGGCAGGGACCTCAATCCCTATCCCCTGACCCCGACCCTGACCCCAATTAGGGATTCCTATTAATTCTTGTCCCATCCCTTCCTGCCCATTGTCTAGGTGGCTTAGAAGACGATTGGTGTTGGTCAATATTAAGGCACCAGGCATCTGTTGATGATGATAATATCTTGGAAGCAAATCCAAATCGATCTAGAATAGATTGGTAGGAAAATTGTGGAAAAATGTAAGGGTGATCCTCTTGCGGTAAAAACATTGGAAAGGTCTCTTACATTCTACATCTGAAGAGAAGAAATGGGATCGAAAATGTGTTAACAAGTAAAATATGGGAACTGGAAGATATGGATGGTATATATAATGCCAGTTCTAAGATTGAGTTACCTACGCCTCCCAGCAGAGCAGATCTGAAGCTTTTCTTTGCTTATTGTTCCATTATCCCCAAAGATTATGAATTTAGTAAGGAGCAGTAAGTTCTTTTATGGATCGGGGAAGGATTTATACATCCCGAGGGAAATAGAGAAATTGAAGATATAGGTAATGAATATATTGAAGAGCTATGTTTCAGGTCATTTTTCAACCGATATGATCAATACGGTGGATTTGTGATGCATGACTTAATTCATGATTTAGCACAATTTATTTCAAAGGGTATATGGTTTGTATTAACAGAAGGGCATATGAATCAAGATTAAGTAAGGCTGTTCATGGGTCGGGTTGGGTCGGTTTACTATGGTTTTTCCAACCGATCCAACCTGGTTAGGTTACCTGACATAGAAACTGAAATCGACCCAGTGTTAAGCAAAACCGACCTGGTCGGTTTGGGTCGGTTTCGGTTCTAAGTTCATCCCTGTGATAAAATCTTGCTAATTTTAAAAACAGTTATAAATTGAACATCATTTTAGCCATCTCCTATGATAAAATTTAAATGAAAAGTTAATCACAAAAATTGTTCATTAATCACTATTCACTAATCCAAAATTTCTTGCAACCATTCAAAAACTATGTGGCCTAATGGGCTTTGGAACTTCATGTTTGAACTAGGAACTAAGTCAGTTCGGTTCGGATCGGTTTTGATTTTCTTGTGTGAAAACCAAAACCGACCCGAATCATTGGATTAGGAATTTGCACAACCCGAAACCGACCCGTATTGATGAAAATCCGGCCGACTTAAATTGGGTCAGTCCGGATTAATCGGTTTAATCGGATTGCGCCATCTTATGAACAGCCCTAATGATAAGTCGTCCAGGAATACAAATTATATAAAGGCTCGTCATTTATCATTACTTCATAGCTGGACGAATAGTACAATGGATGATGACACCATGGACCAATTAGTTCAGAGTAATAATAGTTACTTCACGCACATTTCTGCTACTAAGTTATACCAGGCCCAATGAATATAAAATAAGTATTCCAAGCCTAGTAAAAAAGTTTGATAATTTATTTAATACATGAATATGCTTACGTGTGTTTTTTTTTGAAGGCTAATATGCTTATGTCTGTTGATATTGCGTCATCTTGACTTGTATTATTAGCGATTGCCAGACTCTCTCCTGGACTGGTGGGATTCAAGGGATACCAAAATCAGTGTGGCCTCTATCACTTACAAACATTATTACTCAAAGGACTTGGGTCAGTTGGATTATTTGAAAACATAAGCAGCAACATTGTTAACCAACGACTGGTGAGACATGGAAAAAAAAAATTCATGTTGTAGATACATTTTGTGACGTTTGGAAAAAAATTAACGACGTTTAACTGACATGATCTGGTTTTTGGTGACGTTTTTGTAAACGTCGTTGAAAGCCAATATTTAACATTTGAATTGACTTTTGATGACGCCAAAAGTCATTATTTGGTCATGTTTAGATTAAACGTCATCAGAAGTTAGTTTTGGCGAAGTTTAATCCAAATAGTAAATGCTCGCTTTTTTTGATGATGTTTAAGTAAACGTCACCAAAGGTTTAATTGATGGTTCATTTCCTCATTTGAACCACCAAGCCCTTCTTTGTCAAGCTAGGTCTATAGTGGTGATTGAGTCTTTGGTTCATTTGTACAACTGGTCAATCAATAGAGTTATTTCAACGGTTTTGATGCTCTGTGAGCTGGGGGCCCCATTATCATGCCTAAAAGGGAAGATCATTGGACTTAGAATGGACCCAAATTCTATTACATTGTAAATTCTGAGAAAGAAGAGGTTGTCGAATTGGTTGGGCATGTAGTGATGGGTTGTGTGCTTTCTAAGCCGAGGCTTCTATGTTACAAGGGTTCCAAGACAACGGCTATGAGCCTATGACTACAACTGTCAGTTGGTTGTTCAGCTCGAGTTCTTGTTCTTCGGGCTTGTTTTCCTAGATTGTTCATAGGAGACGTAACTATCAAGGTAGCCTTATTGGACCAGGTGCTGATCTCATTCTTGAGTTGTTGGTAATTTTCGGTGTTGTGCTTGTGACCTTTGTATGACCCGCCCGGATGAGCATACACACCCCGCTGAACTACCTATTGCAGTTGAACACACCAGTGCTCATTGTGGGCTCCATCTGAGATCCAACTATCCTGAACACAGCTGGCGTGTTCAACCGTGATAGGGTGGTGTACGGTGTTTGTCCCGATCTCTGCTATTATTAGGTTTAAAGCATGTTGGGCTAGCGAAGGAAGGGTTTGTTACCAACTTTTGAGTATTGGGAACTGGTTCCAGTTAAGATACCTCGATCTCTCCTTTGTAGTAGCCTTTACCATTTGCAAACGTTGCTACTTGAGGGCTTCAGTGATCATGGGACAAAGGAATTTACCTGAAAACATGGGCACCAGCCTTGTTAACCTTCGACTTATGAAGATTAATAAGTACAGAATTCATCATGTTCCAGATGATTTGAGGTTGCATAGTAAGTGCGTTGGTGTAAAGAATGTAATCGTGTCAGGGTTAGAAAATCTTGACAGTGTTGATGACATTCCAGATGCCATTTTCAGCAACAACAATCAAGTCTTTGTCGAGGACTTGAACATTAGAATGGGATAATGGGATTGGAGTTGGAGAAAAAGCAGTCGCTGTGGCCCAACAAGTAATTGAGCATCTTCGTCCACCAAAGATTGATAACAAGGTACTTGAACTCACAATCAAGGGGTATTATGGTGAAAGATTATTGCCTACTTGGTTGATAGAGATGTCCAATCTAACAGAGTTGAAATTGATAGGATGTAGATCATGTAAGGTTATCTCCTTCCCTCACCTTGGAAAGCTAAAGCACCTGACAATAGGTGATATGGATAATTGGAAAGGAGGAGAGTGGTCATCAGCCTCGACCTCAGACACAGGTGGAGCAAACATAAACCAAGATGAAGTTAATGATCGTGACATACGAAAATTATGTTATCAGCCACTATTTCCTCATCTATCGAGTCTTCGTATATACAAATGCCCCAAACTAAGAACATCGTCAATTCCCTATCACCTTCCTTTCTTGACGTCTTTGTGGATAGAAAATTGTGAAGGACTGGAATCCCTACCCCAAGGGATGCCCCGCTTATTCATATCTCTTGACTGGTTAAGAATCGTAGGATGTCCTCGCCTAATGGCCTTCCCGAAGGCGGGGTTGCCAATCAAACTAAACACCTTTGAGATCAGTGAATGCGGTGAGGGCAAAAGGGGACTCCTACCGAAGGGTGTTGCTTTGCACAGACTTACTTCTCTTCAACGATTGATCATCATGGATTCTTCAGGTCTCAAGTCCTTTCCGAAAGATGATGACTGGCAGCTTCAAATATTGGAGAAATACCTTGCCGGAAGGAGGACTCCCCTCCCAAATTCAGGATTTAGAAATCAGAGGGTGTCCTCTTCTATGACAATCTTGCGAAAAGAATAAAGGCAGAGATTGGAACAAGATAGCCCACAGCCCCAATATAAAGATTGATTACGAATTGATCCAAGGGAGATTTTGAAGACCACCCTTTTAGTGGTGATAACATCATACTGGCCAACCTTGGAGGTTGGCATCAAGAAGTGACCCTTATTCACGCGCATTTGCTGCCCACGTCTTAGCAATCCCATATTGTGACAACTTCTATGCCAATATCTTGTTACATCATACAAAGGGTGATTAGTCACGCATTCGGCTGAGAATCCTCCTTCACAAATATGAGAGCTGTAAATACCAAGCAAGCCTTCATCTTTATGACTTCTCAACTTCTACGGTGACTGCAAAACAGAGGAGTCTCTCATTGGCTGACACCAAAGCAACAAATCAGGTGTCTGTTTTCATTTTTATTTTTTGAGTAAGAAATTTTTAAAAGTTGAATGGATTATTCTAGATTGGTACGTTTTTTCATTTAAACAGAAGTATTCATTTGAAGGTTTGAAATTTAATTTTTTGTTAATTTTTATCTCAGCAAAACTTCATTTATTCTTTCATTTGTTGGTAATTAAATTACCTGGTCAAACCACATAAATTTTATTTTGTCTGGTTCATGTGCACTGAAGAGAAATATTAAATATTTTTCATTAAAAATCATGGCGCTTTTCTTCTTCTTCTAATACCAATCAATGAGGATAACATATCCAGTATCTTGGTAGACCATCGTGGAGGAGTGTCAAGTAGAGGCTTTTATAGGGCATAACAATCACTGTAAGGATTTTAAACCATGGCCACTTGTCTGTTCATTCTGTGTTTTGAAAGCTCTGCTACATCATATTTACCCTTTTAGATTTTTTCTATGATACATCCAATTCACAATTCTCACTTAGAGGAGAATTTTCTTTTCTTTTCTCTTTAATTTGTTTTTCTTTTGAGAAAATGTAAAATAAGATTCTGTTAATATCAGCAAAACGCACCCATACAGAGATTCGCAAAACACACCGATACATGGTAAGGGACTGTTCACTGGGGAATATATAGAGATTCTCAAAAAAAACTAGTTACATAATCTGTCAAAAACAAGTATTGGAATGCCTTCCTTTAAGTAAAAGATTAAGGGCAAGCCAAGAAATCAGCATCCCTTTAATTTTTCCCGCTACCATAGCCTCCTCACAAATTTTATTTTCCAAAAGTCCGGCTGTTTCTTTACCTCCACAGGCCAGAAATCCGCTGCAGGATCATCTCCCATAACAGCGTCCCCTCCTACTCAAACATGAAACCTGCCATCCTTCTAGAAACTGTGGCACCAACTGAGGGAAACCTATATGAATCCAGAATCCCAAAGATACCAAACACTCTTCTCCACAAAGAGTAGGCAAAATTACAATGGAGGAAGAGATGACCAGCTGACCCCAAACATATGTATGCATGGAAAGCTATCTACTGCCATGCCCTTTAACAGATTTTCATAGGCTATTTTCAAGGAGCTATTCAACCTAAAAGCTTAAGCTGTGAGGTGGGGTACCTGATTAGGTATTTATTCTCTAACACACTCCCTCACCCATACCCTATGCTGAAATTTAATTATTTATAATTGAGGTGATGAGGATCGACACTGGACCACTTCGTCAAACAGGCTCTGATACCATCCCAAGGAGCCATTCAACCTAAAAGCTTAAGCTATTAGGTGAGGTACCTGAATAGGTATTTATTCTTTAATAGCCATATATTTAACTAAAGCTGCCTCTCCCATAACAGAAAAGAAATCATTGATGGGATTGTCCTATTACCAAACTTTTGAGCAAAAAAGCTACTTCAGAAGAAAATAGATAATTGTACATTGATTTCTCTGAAAACTTCTTGTATTATAAATAGTTGATAGTAGTTCAACGACAGAGTTGACTTCCTAATCATTAAAGTTCCTTATTAACTGAGGGTTCTACACTATAGAGCCATTGCATATGCCATAGTTATCCCTGACAGAAGACTCCTTGTTTTGAGCTATGTTAAGCAGAGGAAAGTACTCCTTTCTGAGAGGTCTTTCTACAATCCAAGCATCCTCCTAGAAACCTACCCTAGCTCCATAACCCATCTCATATCTCACCGCTTTTGATGAAATGACTGAAAGATTTTTCTATACCCTTGCACAAAGCACAACCATAAGAGGTCCATCTCACTCTGTATTCCATGAGCCATATTTATCAAAGGTAATTCTTCTCCATAAAGAAGAGACCTCCTCATTGTACCTCCAGAACCACTTCCCCAATGAGGCCAAGTTCATCTCCTTTAACCTTTTGCACACAAGTCTCCCAAACCTTTTGGGGAACTCACTCTCCTGGGCTTCCTCCGATTAGCAAGATGGAATTTAAACTCATCTCTGCAGCGCTTCCATAAAAACTCCCTCATCTTCCTCTTAATTTTATTTGCCATACACACGGGCATTGGGAAAAGTGCCATCGTAATAAGTAGCTAGGGAGACTAGACAGAACACTTTTAGTAAGAACCAGCTTGCCACCTTTAGATAAGAACTTTCTTCCAATCTGTTGTATCATCTTTTTGAGGTTTACATTAGTATAACTAGTGTTTACCTCATTCCAACATCAATTTGCTGGCATATGACTTAAGGTGATTTTTCTACAAATATCAAAGTTTTGTCTAGAAACCAGGAGCTTATTTATTTGTTACTTTTTTTTACCACTGTAATTTTCCCATCTTAAGGTAATCTAACATTATAGAAAAACTAAATTTCACTGCAAAGCTATGAATGTTCTTTAACTTTGGCAAACTCCTTGAAGAAGCAGCACAACAAAATGGTTTAAATAAGAGTAGAAAATGTTGTTGATCTTGGGTACAGAAAGGGGTCTTTGTGTTGATACAGCGATAGGGATTTTCTTCCCCCAACTCGGGGAGACAGAGTGCTCTAATTTCTCAAAAAAGGAAGTGACTACCACTCCTTCGCCTATGCTCTCTCCTCACATCTCTGCCTCAAGTAAATCCCTCAACTCTGTTAATTCAGTTTTGGCTACTGATGAGTGCTCTGTGTCCCTTGTTCTAGATTCTCCTCCCAACCAAGAGTCGAAAGCCCTTGGTCTGAAACCAATAGTGCGTCCACAAGGGGGGGAAGTGGGTGAGAAAACTTGCAGAGAGACAAAAATATGGAAAACCATGGGTGAAGTGGAGAGGAAGGAAATGCAAAGAGGGAGCATGGAGGGGACGAAAAGGGTTGTTGTTGGAGGTAATGTGAGAAGGAACGAGAAGTTTCCTAGGAGTGAGGAGAGTGCAACTTTAGAAAAAGAGGAAACTAGTGGGGAAGAGTTAGTTGCAGAGTTTGTGAAAAAGTTGGGGTGCAAGCTGAAGAACCCGAATGATCTAAAAGCCTACTTGCAAAAAAAAAGAGGACAACAAGATGAAGAAGAGAAAGCTGAGTGAAGTGGAGAGATTGAAAATAGATATTGAGGGGGACAGAAAGTTTGAGGTGAAAGGGGATAGAAGAAAAGGGTCTAAATAGATCTTGGAGGAGTTAGGGTTAAGGCTAAGAGTTTTCAATGAGAATCCTAAGTTGGAATGTGAGGGGGTTGGGCAACATTAGGAAGAGAGCGACAATTAGAGAGGTAATTAAGAAGTTTAATCTGGATGTGGTAATGCTTTAGGAGTCCAAAAGAATGGATTTTGATTGCAGMTGGGCAAGGAGTGTGTGGAATTCTAGGGGTATAAAGTGGGTGGCTGCTCCCTCGTGGGGTTCCTCAAGAGGGATTATGACCTTGTGGAAAGAAGATTTACTCATAGGTGTGGAGGAGCTAATTGGAGATCATTCTGTCTCTCTAAAGTTCAGAAAGGTGGACGATGGGTATGAATGGGTACTAACAAATGTGTATGACCCCAATGACTATAGGCAGAGGGAGAAATTATGGGAAGAATTGAGTGACATTAGAGGCCTCAGGGATGGACCTTGGTGTGTGGGAGGGGATTTTAATGTAGTGAGATTTACAGAGAAAACCATCAACCCCAGACAGAGAGTGACAACAAGTATGAGAAAGTTCAACCAATTTGTGGACTCTTTTGAACTTAAAGAACTTCCTTTCCTAAATAATAACTTCACTTGGTCCAACCTTCAATCAAGGCCAATTTGCTCAAAGTTGGACAGATTTTTGTTCTCAACAGATTGGGAGGAACATTGGGGCAATATTACTTCTAGGGCTCTCCCWAGACTTACTTCAGACCACTGGCCTATAGTGTTGGTCAAGGAGGAAATAAGAGGAGTTGGGCCTACCCCTTTCAAGTTTGAAAACATGTGGTTGACTCATCCGGGTTTCATTTAGAAGATCAGAGAGTGGTGAGAGCAATCTAATCTGGTAGTTGATTGGGAGGGAATGAGGTTCCACAAGAAACTCCAATACTTAAAATCTCAATTAAAGGAGTGGAATAGGCTGGAGTTTGGAAGATTAGAAGAGAGAAAACAAGTTCTGGTGGAGCAAATTGAGGATTTGGACTTGAAGGAAGAGAGAGGTTCCTTTGGAGAGGAAGAAAGGAAGTTGCGATGGGTTTTGAGGAGGCAGATGGAGGACATCTTGGTTAAATAGAAAATCAGTTGGAGGCAAAAACCCAAGTGTAAGTGGCTAAAGGAGGGAGACAGAAACACAAGGTTTTTCCATTCAGTGGAAAATGGGAGGAGAAAGAAGAATCTCATCTCTAATTTGGAAGTTGATGGAGCAATGTTGTCCCACTCGGTAGAAATTGCAGAGGCTTTAGTAAACTACTTCAAATCTATTTTTAGAAGGCCTATGAATGAGAGTGTGGTTGGAGGGATTGGATTGGCCAACTCTAAGCGCAGAGAAGAGAGTGGCTAGAAAAAACTTTTGATATGGAGGAATAAAGGAAGCAGTATTCTCAATGGATAGGACAAAAGCTCCGGGTCCAGATGGKTTCACAATGGCCTTCTACTAGGACTGTTGGGAAATTTTGGAGAATGATCTTAGATCAGTTTTTGTGGAGTTCTACAGAAGGGGAGAAATAAATCTGGACTTGAACTCAACTTTCATTGCTTTGGTCCCAAAGAAGAAAGATGCATCACAACCAAAGGATTTTAGACCTATYARTYYGGTGACTAGCTTGTACAAAATCATTGCAAAGGTGCTGTCTCTCAAGATAAAGAAGGTGCTTCCCTCTATTATTGCACCCAACCAATGTGCTTTTGTGGAGGGAAGACAGATCACTGATCAGATTCTCATTGCAAATGAGAGCTTGGAGAGCTTTAGGAAGTCAAAGAAGAAGGGAGTGGTTTGTAAATTGGATCTGGAGAAGGCTTATGACTTGGTTGATTGGTCTTTCTTGATGGAGGTGTTGAGGAGTTTTGGTTTTGGAGACAGGTGGTGTAAGTGGATTTGGGGCTGTGTTAGGGCTTGTCATTATTCTATCCTGGTGAACGGGACTGTGGTTGACTTCTTTCCTGCGTTGAGAGGTCTAAGACAAGGAGATCCTCTTTCCCCTTTTCTTTTCACCCTGATTGTTGATGTGCTTGGGAAATTGATCCATATAGCAGACTTGAGGAATTTGATAAGAGGGTGGAGAGTAGGAAGGGAGGAGGTTCCCTTAACACTTCTACAATTTACAGATGATACTATCATGTTTTGTGAAGGAGGAAACTTCAATTGGATCCAGAATCTAAAGTTGATAGTACAACTCTTTGAGTTGATATCTAACCTCAAGGTGAACTTTGATAAAAGTTGTGTGGCGGGAGTGAATGTGAATGAAAGGGACCTAAGGGAATTTGCAGGTGAGCTAGGTTGTGCAATTACGGACTGGCCCCTGACATACTTGGGCCTCCCTTTAGGAGATAATCCTAAGAGTTTTAGCTTTTGGACTCTAGTAGCGGAGAGGTTTGAGAAGCGGCTGGCGGTTTGGAAGAGAAATTATCTTTCTTTAGGTGGGAGAGTCACTCTCATTAGGTCTACCCTAGCTAACATGCCTGTCTACTATCTGTTAGTGTTTAAGATCCCCTCAAAGGTTTCAATCTTTTGGAAAAATTAATAAGGAACTTTCTGTGGGAGCCTGGAGAGGAAAAGAGAGATCATAGGGTGAGTTGGTCACTAGGTGTAAAAAACTTTTTGGGATTGGTAATTTCAAGAAAAGGAATATGGCCCTACTGGGGAAATGGTTATGGAGGTTTTCATTGGAAAGGGATAAATTATGGAATAAGATTGTGGCTAGCATACATGGGCTGGAAGGCAATGGCTAGGATCCTGGAATCTTGGCAAGGGCCTCAGCTGCTTCTCCTTGGAAATCCATTCACAATCTGCTTCTAGTTTTCTCCCCTTGGATCAGGTATGGTCTAAACTTTGGTAACCGAATAAAATTCTGGGAACAACTTTGGGTCGGGGATTCTCCTCTGAAGGACCAGTTTCCTTCCTTGTATGCTCTGTCAGACTTGAAAAATGAATCCATATCTTCTTTCTTGGTCCCTTCAGCTTCCACTTCTGGCATTGGGTGGAACCTAGGCCTGCGTAGGGCAATTAGGGATACAAACATGGATAGCTTGGTAACTTGCTAGCCTCCCTTGAGATTGTCTTCCTAAACCCTGCTAAGGAAGACACCAGATTTTGGACCCCTTCTAGCTCTGGTACCTTTTCTTGTGCTTCATTCTTTTAAACCTCAACTCAGCCTCCTATCCCCTTTGGGTTGTCCTTTCCGGTTAAGGAAATTTGGAGCAGGCCTATTCCTCCTCGGGTTGGTTTTTTTTGTTGGGAAATTTTCCTGGAAAGAATCAACACTTTAGACTTACTTCAAAGAAAGAGACCCAACTATTGTTTACTTCCTAATAGATGTGCTCTTTGTAAAGCTGATGGGGAATCTGGCTACCACCTCATGGTCTCTTGTAAGGCTGCTAAAACTGTATGGGAGTGGGTTTTCTCCCGCTTTGGGTGTTCTTGGTATCCTCCAGAGACTATCCAAGGTTTGTTTTCCGACAAGGAAAGAAGCGAGGGAAGACTATGTGGAGGTGTATTAGGGCAGCGGTATGCTGATCATTGTGGGAAGAAAGAAACTCACGTATTTTTTCCGACAAGGAAAGAACATTGGAAGATTTGTTAGATCGAGTCCTTTTAAGGGCTGTCCACTGGCTAAAATATTTGGAGTTGTTTTCAGATTTTCCTGTGGATGACTTACTATGAAACTGGAAAGAGATTGCTTCCATTGCTAGATGCAAGAGGACTCTTTGTCCATTTTGGTCCCCTCCCCCCTCGGGCTTTATAAAGCTGAGCTTTGATGGCAGCAGTGTAAGGAATCCAGGGCCCTCTAGGATTGGAGGAGTTTTCAGGAATGAGGTAGGGATTGTTATTGCTTTATTCTCTGGCCCTATTGGAGAAGGTGACTCTCTTAGGGCTGAAATCCTTGCAGCGCCTGAAGGAATTCGAAGAGCAAAGGAATTAAATATCAGCCGTTTGATCCTGGAAGGTGATTCGAAGGTGGTGGTTAGTTGGTTGAAGACAGAGGACAGTGGTTTGTGGAACTTTAACAATGAAAAAAAAAACAGTTCTTATGGCTGGGTAGGGACATTGAGATTCAGTACAGCTGGGTGAAGAGGAGTGCCAACTCATTTGCGGATGGGTTGGCCAAGAAAGGAGTGAATAGAGAGTCTGTATTTTGGGCTAGTTTTTAATCTTTTCTCTTTGTACTCCCTTTGTTTTCTGTTTCTGGGAAGATAAGATATTTTATCTCCACTCTTGTATCCATATTCCCTCTTTTCTTTTAATTTAATGAAGCTGGTGTTGTCGATAAAAAAAAAAATGTTGTTGATCTTGGTGGAAGATAGCTCTCTGCACTTTTTAGGATATCTCATTTAAAGGCATGTCTAGTGAATCATCTACATATAGTAACTGTTATAACTTAAATTTTTTATTTTCTATTTTAATTTGAAACTTCTTTTTTTTTTTTTTTTAATTCTCTATGTTCTCGTATATTTTAAATAGTATAGATGTTTGGAAATATAGGCAATTAAAATCTGAGTTTTCCACTGCTGCCCTATGAGATCATCCAAGGAGATACTTTTGTATTTAAGCTTGTGGAGAGCCAGCTGTATGCATATCTCCAAAGATGTAAAGCTATGCATATTGTATGAATCAGATTAAATTGTAGAGCTATTGCATAGAAAAAATAATGATTATTGAGAACTGACTAGAAGTTGATTCAAGTGGATTTTTCTTAACACATAACTTGGTTATGGATATCAAGTTAAAGAAAAGAGGTTCTAGTGCTGCAAAAGGGTTTGGGCCTTGACCCTAAGGAAGGAGTAGTGTCATTTGTCGGCAAATGCCAAGATTGCAAAACCTGAGCCCTAGTAGCTCAATTTAAGGACATGCTAAAGCCAAAATGGTCACATCTCATGGATTGCAAGCCAGTCCTCAACATCCTAAACCATGAAATACTGTGAGTCTTATTTTACTTTTATTTTATATATTTAAATACTTTAGAACACTAAACAGAATGGAATGGCAGAATAGGACTTGTGTACCCAATCCCATGTAGTTGAGACAAGGCTTAGATGATGATGATGATGATATTTAAATGCTTTAGAACCATAAAAGCAAAAATAAGCCAATTGTATATGGAATAAATTTTTTTCTAATAAGTAAAAAATTAGTTATTTATTAGTTAATGAAAGGATTTAAATTGAAGAAGCTACCATTGGACTGTTTTCGAACGTCTATGCCTTTCTCCTAGTATTTGAACCTCCATGCATGTATTATTCGATTCCACCTCATATTGATTTTCTTCCATGTATGACTTGATGCAAAAATCAAGCTCTGTTTTGCTTTTGAATGTTAAGCACAAAATCCTCCAAGATTCTGTTAATTATAGCCATAATTTATATAGTCAATCTGATGACAGCATCAAGATTTCACTTTGGTAGGATTTCATCATGTTGCTCCTATCCATTTTGTGTTAGTATTCAGATTTTTGTTGATATACGGTATTGAGATATAATTCTTATCTTAATTTTCTTTCATATTTTCTTCATGTAATTCAATATCCTGGTGTTCATAGTATTGTGTCAACAATAAAATTTAAGATTGTTGTTTGTTAATCATGTACGTGGCCTTTAATGTTAATTTTATTTTAATAGTTGTAGCAGGTTCATATTTTTTTAACTTAAATATTTCTATTGGAAAATTTTATAAACTGAAATACACAGATATTTACATATTGGGCAATATAGTACCAGTTGATTACTTGAGTACATAAGTTTTAACTTAAAAATTGTAAGTAACAGATTGTGATCCTTTGTATCTTGTTTCATCATTGTCCCTAAGGCTGGGTTTGTTTCTACACTGGTACAGAAGTATGGGGAAACAACTCTGTTTTGTTTTTGTTTCAGTTTTTTACTTCATTTTGCTTTTTAGATGAAGTAAAATAAACCCTGAAGCAAAATAAAAGCCAAAACAAAGGTGAACCAAAATTTCCATTCTTTTTATTTGCACTCTCATGCATTTGTACTAATGTAAATAAAATTGCATTGCAAACAAACAGAACTTAAGGGTTACTGAGCCTAGTGGATGTATCTTTGACAACAATTTAGATGGCATCAGAAACTAAGATGACTTGAGATCACATTCTTTAATCAATTGACTTCTTTAGATAAGTGAGGAAGATCTTTGTACCTAATATGGTAATGGTACAATTCAGTTTCCTTTTTACACATGTGACTGAGTTTTTATAATCAGCATCCCTTGAAACAGGATAGGTTTGTATAGAACAAAGTTGCAAGTTCAGAGGAAAAAGGAGTTAGAACCAAGCGAGCTGATGGAAGCAAATTCCCCTACCATAATTTCTCCTTAAACAGTGTCTCTAGCAAGCACCCCAGCAATTAAGCAAGCTTATCTAGCAACTAATGGAAATAAGGTGTTCAAACTCAATTCCAAAGAAAAATGAATTAGTCTCTCTATGACCAGGTAGAATGATCTCTCTCATCCACCCATTAATGATCTGAGAATCTGTTTTCATCACTAACCTTTAAACCACAAACAAAAACATGGTGTGAACCCTTTTTTTTTTGATTTTGGTAGAGGAGACAAGATCTCATTTCCTACAACTTTATCAACATGATGATTGAGCTCAAAACATATTAGGCCTGTTCAGTTTGCAGCCGGAATTGGAATGATCTATTCAATAGCCTGTTTGGTTGAGACAGGAATAGGAATCAGCTAAAATGGATCTCATTTCCAAGGAAGAGGGAGAGAATGACCATTCTCTCAAATGGGAGAATGCCATTCCACTAGGAATGGGAACGGGATTCTGATTCTAAGCAATCAAACAGTTTGCTATTCTGATTCCGGTTCCAGATCCTTTTTCCTGCAAACCAAATGGGCCCATTGTTCTATTTAAGCCACTTTAAAACTAACTGGTACCATTTATTGAATATGTTACAATTGCATTTTGCATCCTAGGCAACTATGTCAACTTTGTCAACTTTGTCCCTTGTAATATAAATAAAAAATGCTGTGATGGGAAATTTAGGTGATTTCTCCAATTTGTGCCTCCCTACTTGCACTTTAGTTATGTTGGTTCTTTCCCCATCCACATGCCTAATGTTCTTGCCAATGAACTTTGATTTGTAAATATTTTATATTCTAAATAAACACAAAAAATAGGAACCTTGGTAGATATTTTATATAATCTTTTATAATTGCAATATAATGTACAAATTAGTGAATCTGGAAATGACTCCATCGTGTCATGATGAGAAAGATTAACCTATCTTTAGGGAATTCATTATTTACATTACATGTGAATTCATTCTATGCTTTATTTGTACGTCTCATCTTACTGTCTCATAGGTGTTTTCTTTTTCTGTTTTTTTTTCAAAATTACCAAGGTATCTATGATGAGAATTTTGAATATACAAGAAATTTGTGTCAAGAGCAATTGTATTTCATGCAATAAGAAGTATTGCAGAATAGGCGATGAGATGTTCATATGAATATTTTTGAATGCAAACGAGGGTAGCAAACATGAGGTGTTAATGTAGGTAAATATGATATCCAATATTCTTCTTTCTTTATTTAAATAATTTACAAATTTACCGTAAGATAGAAACCATAATTTCACATTCCTGCATCACGGTTTTCTGTATGACACATATATTGTATATTTTTTTCTGAACATCTGCTTTTACTACTTACTTGCACACACACACACACACACACATCAACCATCACCGTCTTCCTTTTGTTTTCTTAATTTGACTCCAGATTTTTTTTGCCAGTAATTTGACTCCTGATTTTGACTATGAAGGAAAAACTAATCTTAAACATTTTGTATAAAGAAAGATAAATTAGTCAAATGGGTGCAGAAATTTTGGAGTGAACGTTGTTTATTCAATTGCAGGTTTTGCTTTTTATAAATTATATTTTATTAAAAAAAGGTTTAAAGTTGAATTTCCAATTTTCCTTAATGAGTCAGTAGCCTTTGTAGTTCGCATACATGGATGTAAATGCATATGCACATTCACCTACATTGCACTCATAAGCATACAAATTCGTAAATTGCCTGCCACTCTATGCATAAGGATAAATCAAGTGCTGAAATCTATATATAACTGATGTAAATGCACCAAATACAGCTTGAGCAGGATGATTTTTGGGTGACCTTATTAACTAACATCTTTGAGAAGTTCTTAATGGATGGAAATGGAAAGGTTGCTGAGAGATGCCCACAAATAACCTCACCTTTCTAGATTGAGGTATGCTTTGTTTGTCTAATTTGACTTTTAAGGTTTCTTAATTATTATTAGTTCTGGCCTGAAATTTTATTTAAATCTAAATGAAACATTGGAAATGTAATACAGTATTCATGAATTGTTATAGGTGCAAATCGGACGGGCTGGGTTGGGTTTTAGCTCAACCCAGGCCCAACCCTAAGAATTTGGCCTGAGCCTGGACCAAACCTCAAGTTAAGCTCAAACTGTTCAACCTGAGTCCAACCTGCATTGAAATTTGATGCACCCAGGTTGGGTTTGAGCCTGGGAGGGGTTGGATTGGTCAATCAATCCATACTAAAAATATATATATTTTTTAAGTCAGTTTACACTAAAAATAGATATAAATTTATTAGGCGCATGCTGTGGGGACTGAAACACATATCCATACTAGGCGCTTGTCAAGGAGTGCCTCACCCAAACGCCAAGAAAAAATGTATTAGTTTTCATAATAGGATATGTCGCATGTTGTCATGTTTTCGTGATGAGGAAAGTAAAAACAAAATAATCTCAAGGGTTTCACTTTGACAAAAGAATCGAATGAGGAAGAAGAGAGAACAGCCGTCCATCGTTCTCACACAATCCTCTAAGTCAAGGTTAGTTAATCAGTTTCCTCCTTCCTTTTGTTCTCTTTTTCCACTGGTTTAAAACAGTGGTCACACCCTATTGTTCTCCTCTTCCTTGTTGGATTAAAATCGTTCTTCTTTCCTGGTTTGAACAGGGGCTCCGCCCCCTTCTTTTGTTCTGAAATTTCGTGCGTGTTTTCAGCTCTTTTTCCTTCATTATTGGTGTCTGAAATTCTTCATATTCTTCTTTTATTTTAGTATTTTTTTCACCAGCTTTTCTGGATCTAGAACATGGGCTCCACCCTCTTCTTTTGTTCTTAGCTTCTTGCATTTTTTAGCCCTTTTTTTGTTCTCATCATTGTCTGAAACAGGGGCAGAGCCCCTTCTATTCTTTGTCGTATTTTTTCTTTTATTTTAATATTTTTTCACCCTCTTTATCTTGGTCTAGAACAGGGGCTCCGCCCCTTACTTTTCTTCTTCATTTTCTTCTTAATTGTTCTCATCAAGTAACACTGCATGAAACACAAGCACAAAAGTAAGTGCAGAATACATAAAACCAAAAAAACTAGTACAGAAGGGGTAGAAATCCATTGGCTTCTTATTTTTAAATTCCATCGCTTAGGCGAGGACTAGGTGCCCGTCTAGGTGCCTGGGCACCCCATGGTTGCCTAGCCTCGCCTTGGCGCCTTGAAAACTATAGTCTATATATGCAAATATACATGCATATAATCTGGAGGAGCTCAGTCTGGGATGAAGTTGAACCAGACTTAGGTTGGGTTCAGGTTACTCAAGGGCCTAGGCCTGAGCCCAGTTTGAAAAAGAAGAAAAGCCCTGAAAATCCAAGTTCAGCCCATATAAAATTACCCGTTGGATTGGGGCCGCCCAAGTTATACCCCTATGAATTATTAGACCTATTTTGAGTATAGAAATGAATCAAATAGACTGTTTCAATCGTCATGGTCACATAGATGAGCCAAGGCTTCAAATCTTTGATATAGTCTATGAACTGTTCTTAAACAATTCCTTGTTCTTATTTCTACATTTGATCCTTTTTGTTTCAGGACATTCAGAAACCACTTGCAGCATAAATTTCAAGCAACTACAGACAAAGTTTTCAGAAATGCACTTTGTTCATGTGTTTTTGAACCCCCCTTACATTGAACAAGTGATGGTGATGGAGAAGTTTGAAGAGTCAAAACTGGAATTTCATAGCTTTTATGTATTTCTGAATTTTTGAAAAGTAGTAGTATTGTCATTTTGATCATTGTATCTGGGGTTCAGTAGTTTGAATTTTCTAGCCATAGTGCAGTTATGCTTAAATTTTCCGTGTCATTGGTTAAGTGGTTTAAGAATTATTTAGTTTTCTTTAAGAATCTGTTGAGAACCACTTTAAGCCAAACAAGGTCGAACAATGATCCATCTGAGAAATTGGGAGGAAAGAGATGCAGGATTTGATGGGGACCCCCCCTACTATAGAGGGGGTATATGGAGTTTACCCCCACTTAAATTTTTTTGCTCAAAAAGTTAAACACAAGACACGATGAGAAGAAAGGGAAAACAGTAGAAATAAGCTTAAACAGAGAAATGAGGAGATAAAAGAACCTGATTGTTGACTCCCTTGTTCTAGAATCATGTGGAAATGTCAACTGAGTCATTGTTATACATATATCTTGGAGGTGTGGGCTGTCTTGGACCAATCTCTCCCTTTATTCTTTTTGTAACATTTTCTCAGAAGAGAACAACCATAGATTGCTAAGATGCTCAATTTGGTCTGAGAATCCCCTTTTTCCGACAAAGATGTGAGCCCTGGAGCATTATGAATCTCCAATAGAAAGGACTCTTTCTTGAGATGGAAACAATTACTGATAGTCAATTTTAAAGACATGTAAGTTTATATTGGCACTTTTGGGTAGGAGTTCCCTTTTGTCCTCACCACATCCATCAATGGTTACTCGGCATAACTGGTTATTAGTTGGTAACCACTCATCGGGAAAGGCCTTTATGAGAGGGCATCCTATGATTGTTAAATTTTCAAGAGATATAATGTTGTGTATCTCTTCAGGCAAGAATTTGAACTCCTTACATTCTTTTATCTCAAGATACTTCAGTTTGGCGCTTGGTAGTCCTCCATCAGGAAAGGCCATTAGGCGATGACATCTGTAGATGCTTAATTTTTCAAGAGATCTGAATAAACTATGCATCCGTTCAGGTAGGGATTCCAGCCCTTCACATTCCCATATCTCCAGGTTTTCCAAGCAAGGAAGCGGATGGGGAATTGCCAATGCTTTTAGCTTGGGACAGCTATATATGCGAAGCTCCTTTAGATAAGAAAATAGTGGTTGATGATGATCTGCAGAAGAAGAAGAAGAGGATGAGGGTGATTCTTGTAGGCCATGATCATCACCTTCCACTTCATCTATGTTTGTTCCACCTGAGACAGATTGAAGACCATTCTCCTCCTTCCCAATTATCCATTCCACTTATTGTCAGTTCCTGGAGAAAGGGTAACATCCCAAGAGGAGATAATGGGATAACCTTACATCTACATCCGATCAAATTTAAGACAACTAGTTTGGACATCCCTGCCATCCAACTAGGGAGTCTTTCACCATAATATCCCTTGATCGTGAGATTACGTAGGCTAGTATGAGCTGGATGAAGACACTCGATCACTTGTTGGACCTTTGCTACACTTTCTCCAATGATGTAGACTTTATTCCATTCTAACCTTAACACCTTTAGGTCTTGATTGTTGTTGAAATTAACACCCACAATGTCATTGATGGTAGCAACATTCTCTAACCCTGACAATGATAACTTCGCTTGCCCCTATACACTTAGCATACAGCTTCAAAACATCTCCCATTCCTTCATTCTTGCATGGAATTCTACACTTGTATGTTGGTATCTTGACAAGTTGAATGTTAATAAGGCTGCTGCTTATGTTTTCAGGTAACTCATCTAACCTGTACAACCCTTCAAGTAATAATATTTGTAAATGGTGGAGGCTGCAAACTGCTTTTGGTAGCTTTTTAATCCCAGTCCAAGAGAGGTCAAGGTATCTCAGCAGCTTCAAGTTGCCAATGGAGTCTAGAAACCCATCCTCACCCAGTCTAAGATGGCGCAAGCTCAATACACGAAGGTATCTCCATTTATCAAATATGTTATCAAGCTTTGCTACGAGCCATGGGATGCTAATCATATAACCGGATCCACGTAGTAGTAGAAATGTGCGTGTTGAACTACTCTTGCTCTTAACTAATTGGTTTAAGAAGGCATCATCGTCTTCATTTATTGACTCTGTAATAAGCAATGACAAATGACGTGCCTTTTTAGGGATACTAATATTTCTTTTATTTTTTGACCACTCATCATCATTTTCATTACTTAGTCTAAAACATATATATATCCTTAGAAATAGACTGCTAAATCGTGAATCAGGTCATGCATCACAAACGATGTTTTGTTATTTCCATAATATTGAAAAAATGACCTCAAAAATAGCTCATCAAAATACTCACTGCCTATGTTTTTCATTTGTTTTCTTCCTTTATTAGAATCTACAATAAATCCTTCCCCTATCCATAAATGAACTAATTCCTCCTTAAATGTGTATTCTTTGGGGAAAATGGAGCAATAAGCAAAGCATCGCTTCAGATGAGCTGGGAGATATTCATAACTCAATCTCAATGACGATATTATACCCTTATCATCATTTTCTTCTAATTCCCACATTTCATTTTCCAATACAAATTCCCATTCCTTTTCTTCAATTTTGAAATGTAGAAGGCTTCCAAGTGTCTTTACTGCAAGTGGCACACCCCTACATTTTTCCACAATTTTCCTACCAATTGCTTCCCATTTCCCCATATGTCAAAGGAACTTGTAGGACTTCCCAAGCATGTGGGTCCTCGTTCCAAACATCATCCAAAAAGATCAAAAACTTTTTACCACACAATCTCCTTGAGTTTCATTTGGAGTGTCTCAAGTTTCCTGAGAAAACATGGTTCCATGGTAGCAGACTCGATGATATCTCTTGTTATCTTAGCACTATCAACTTCTTCCGATAAACGAACCCACGCTTTGAGGTCGAAATATCTGTTCACTAATTTCTCGTAATTGTATACAGACTGAGCAAGCGTTGTTTTTCCAAGGCCACCCATACCAACAATGGGAATCACCCCATAAATTTTCTGGTCACTTGGACCATCCCAAATCAACAGTTTGGAAATTAAGTTGATCTTATCAGTCTCTCGACCATAAAAATAAGATTCATCTAATAAAATGGAACTCGTTGAAGACCTATTTATGATTTCGTTACTCATCCTCCCTTCTCCATAGATACTTTTCAATCCAAGCACAGTCATTCGATTTTTAAGTTTCTCTAGCCTTTCGTTCATCTTCTTTATCTCAGATTTTATATCGTTTTTTATTTCATGGGGGATGGAGCAGCGTACCTGGTATTTCTCAACATAGATTCCATACTCTTCAATTGCGTCTTCGGCATCATAAGCCAGATCAATGAGTTGATTTAACCATTTATTGACTTCCTTCTTTATTTTCTCTGGTGTTTTCTTGTTATTCTGTGGCCGCTCCACATCCACATCCGCATCCGTGTGCACAGTCTCGATCATCAGCAGCGTTTCCTCTAGCTTTTCGAGATCTGCATCAATTCCACAGTCGGGTGAAGAATCTTTGATAATTGGGTTATCCAATTTGTCGAACAACACCTTAAAAGAAGCTGATAGAATTGGTTCTCCCACTTCAGCCATGATCTTGTTCTGATAGAAAATAAGACATGCATTCAAGAAAGATTCAGAGATCGATCTTGAATCTTACATATTCATGTGATGACAATTACTGATTACAGGGTACTCTCCCCTCCTTCCACGAAGAAGCAAAAGTGGACTCTCTTCCCTCTGTTTTTTTTTTTTTTTTAATTTTTTTTTGCGCGTGTGGGCATCAATTGACTTTTTTTTCTTGAATCACCCCAGGTTGAACCGTTGATATAGAAATGAAAATTTAAGCCCAATTGGAGGCTAGCACATCATTTGTATCTGTATAATTCTACATAATTTCTTCTTTTCATAATTTTGTATAGAAATTATCCGAGACATGGTTATTTCCTCTATGAATGGATATTAGGAATTGATGTAGGCTCATGTGGCAGGACCCATGGTGGTGCCATGTGGCATCGTCCGAATGCAATCCTGACCGTCTGCTGCTAACCACCTCCAACCACTCCCTGAGTAAGGTCAAGTATAAATCGGGGTGTCCCTCTCCTATTAAGATCACTTGGCTCATTCCTGCTCTCGAATGACCTCGATTGAGTTCTTTCCTTAGGTCTCGTCTGATCCCCTTTATGCATTTAATTAATTTGATCGTCGGAGTGTTCACCCCTGGGATAACACTCGAATACATCGGCCCTCGCATACATAAGCCTCGGACACGTCAGCCCTCAGCTAAAGAAACGTATTTAACTTATTACCCTCAACCCATCCTTGACAGGAGCCAATCAGTCAACTGACCGTCTATGAACGGAATGGGACGAGCTAACGAATTCAGTCGGTTTGTTTGAACGATGTTTGCTAAATGAAATTTGAGTAAACAATGTTGGAGCCTATATTATAATGCTTATCTTGAATTTCTTGTGGCCATGGTTGCTCTGTTATTCTAAAATTCTGATGGCGCTAATGAGACCTGATTTTGTGAAATAGGGCTGTTCTCATGGGTCGGGTTGGGTTAATTTATTAGTGTTTTTTTAATCGATTCGACCTGGTCAAGTTGTCTATAGATCAAACTGAAATCAACCCTCTATTAAGTAAAATCGATCTAGTCAATTTGAATCGGTTTGGGTTTCAATCAACTCCAAGCTTGTACAATGCACATGAAGTCAAAGTGCTAATATTATATATAATATTTCAGAATATATTTTATAGAAATATATATTTAAAACCAAAACATATATACAAATATATTGGAATATATATTTTTTAATTTCTGAAAATATATATTTTAGAAATATATATTTGATATATTTTATAATATATTTAAAAGAGAAAATTCTCGATAGGCTTCATGTACCTTAGGCTGAGTGTCAATTTAGTATCCAAACTTTAAAATGCGACAATCTAGTATCGGAATTTTTATTTTGTGACAATTTAGTACCTATCGTTAATAAACCACCGATTTAACATTTTTAAAAATGTAAAGATTACCCTTAGACAGTTCGTCATCTTCTTTCTCATGAAACAGAGCACAAACACACCGATTTCGGAACGTCAGTAGTGGGCTCAGGACCTGACGCTAACTTCGGCCTTGCCCAATGCTATGGGGACCTCTCCTTGCTCGACTGTGTACTGTGCTACGCTTAGGCTCGTACCATCCTTTCCCAGTGTTTCCCCTACAACAGGGGCCGCATATTCTTGGACGGTTGCTTCATGCGGGCAGAGAACTATAGCTTTTTCCAAGAGTTCACCAGTTCTAATGACCAGGCCGTGTGTGGGAATGCCACCCGGAAGGGACAGAGGTTCCAAGAGTCGGCCAGAGACCAAAATAAGCTTGGTTGGACATTCCCAAAACAGGGGCAGAGCACCCAGAACAGTTTATGTGAAAGCTTTTCTTCCCCTACCAAACTAACCGAGTATCAAATTAGAGCACTCAATGAGTCGCAGCAAATAGTGGAGTTTCAGAGACCCGGAGCTTGGCTGGACATTCACAGAATATGGGAGCATCAAAAACAGAAACAGGGTAGTGCTTTACCGCTCATCCAAAATCCAAAACCGAGTGAAAAACCATTGCTTTCCGGCATGAATAATGTTTTCCGGAATTATTCCGACATGAAAATAGGCCGATGACGTGCAAAACCGTGCATAAAATGGGTAGAGATTTACCGGTCAGTCTCCCTGTTTTATGCTCATTTGGACATTTTAATTTGGGGAAACCATATTTTGGGGATTTTTTTGCCATCAATGGGCCGTCTTGGGTGTGAAAAGACGCTGAATATCTCCCATGAAACACTACTGTGTTCGCTGATTTGAGTGAATATTGTATCAAAAAACGGGTGAAGAAGAAATAAAGATTCAAATAAGCTAACGAAAATCCAAAAGAAAAGAAGAGGTACAATACTTGGAGACAAAGAAGAATACAAAAGAAAAGAAGAGGTACAATACTTGGAAACGTATTAACTTCCCTAACCTCGCTGAGAACAATGATGGTGATCTCTGGCTTTTCTTTTTTTGAATTTCTGTATTTATTTTCTAGGATTCCAGGTTCAGATGATGCATTAAAACTGGTAAAGATCCAGACCCTTAATGACAGTAGCTTGAACTTCAAGTACTCTACACTAGAAAAGGCCACTGGATCTTTTGATGACGCCAGTAAGCTTGGGCATGGAGGATACATTAATGGAAGGATGGCTCATAAGTGTGGACGGTTGGGAGTTTACATAGAAGAGTAAGGTTGGGAGTATACACTTGAAGGGTATTTTTGTTTTTTTGCATGCCACTTAAGGGCTGGTTAACACCGGGTATTAGATTATCGCAAAATGATGGTATAAGTACTAAATTGTTACGTTTTAACGTTCGGTTATTAAATTGACACTTGGCCTAAAGTACAGGATATTTATCGGAAATTTTTCCTATTTAAAACTAAAATATTTATATTTTACAGATATTTTTTCAGAATATATATTTTCCAGATAACTTGGTTCGGTTCAATTTGGTTTTGATTTTCATACATGAAAACCGAAACCGACAGATAATAAAAAAAATGATCGACTCAGTTGGATTGAGCCGGGTTGATCAGTTTGGATTTATTTATGAACAATCCTATCGCGAAATTTGAATTCTGAATGAAACACCAAATCAATATGATTTTTTTTTAAGTTTTTGATGTTTTACTGTGAATGTTTGATATAACCATAGGTTTTTTATAATTTTTAATATTTTTTACAGATTTTTAAGGGGTGTTTTATGAAATAAATAACTTTTTTTGGTCATCTTATGAAATAAATAACAGTGTTTACAAAATTCGACAAAACGACCAGATTTTAAAAATATATGTTTGAATCAGTGAAGGACAAAAAGAAAGATTTTCGATAAAATTACCTTTATACTGAGGTCTCTCACTCTTATTTTACAAATGAGTTTCCTGCTCCTTCAAAAATCCATAAACCCATCCGGACTATACAACAGGATAGTCCATCGCCCAAGCCTATAACCCGATTAACCCCCAATCCAGGTGCACGCCGGATTCCGGATTCGATTCAAGTTTACAACTACAACCACATGAAAACTTTACCAACCAGCCGGTTGACACCTTGCTTCAATTCCTTTATATTTATTAATAAAAAATTAAACTCTTATTCTATAATTGTGAAATGTGGATTTTTCACAATCCTCGCAGCTGACACCGAACGGATACGATTTCTCGTCATCAATAAAAAAAGAAGGGATTTTTAGATTACACTTTAATTAAAAATTTTAGCTGTAGACCTAAACAATTTAAAATTGTAAACAGTTCCACCTATAGTACTCATACCCACTCTGAATTGGTATAAAAACGAACTGGTGACCGAACTGGTTAGGGGTCCGATTATCGGTTCAAATAGTCTAACCATTTGATCTGAACAGTCAGCCCATTTTAACAAAAAAATAAAAAAATTTAAAAAATTAGAAAATAGTCAAAACCGTTCAAACGGTTCGAACAATTAACCAGCCAGTTCAACGGTTTATTAACCAAAATCAACGGTTTTGGAGAAAAAACGGTTTTGGAAGAAAACAGAACCGATCAAATGACCGGTTCCCAATTTTTCCGGTCCGGTCCAGTTTTGAAAACGCTGTTGTATGACAGAACTAGAAATTCTGGGAGTGGACTAAACAGTAAAATCCCCCAAAAAAGAATACCATGGCGTCTGTATTATATTGGTGCTACTGATTTTTTTTTATTTCTTTATTTAGGTATATATATTAATATTACTGGAAAATTGTATGCCATCTAACAAACAGATGGTTAATAATAAGTATTAAATTAGAACGTTTTAGAAGTTTAAATACTGGATTGACACGTCTTAACGTTCGGGGACCAAAGCGAGACTAGGTTCCAAGTACGGGATACTAATCTGCAATTTTCACAATAAAAGAAAAGAACAAAAAGAAAAAATTTGGGGGCCATGAACCAACCCCCTTCCACCACCCAATTGAACTGATCATGGCCAGACCCGTTTAAACCATCAGTTGATGATTATTTTGGCTCAGGCTCAGTTTGAAAAGAGTATAAATGCAAATATGTACAGAATAAATACATACAAAATATAAGGTTTTACACTCTACATATTTACATTTGTACTCCTTCCAAACTCAACCTCAAATTAACTCCATACATGTGGCATAGTAAGAAGTAGGGGGTGATTATGGGCCTAGGCCCAGTCTGGGTTTTCCACCTATTATAAGGGCTGTATCCAGAGGCTTGGGCCATGTTGGACCGTGCTTGATCCTGAATCTATATTTTTTATTTAAAATATTACAAATATATTGTATTTTATATTGAATAGCATATAATATGCATATAAATTATTATTTTTTATTAAATAATGTAGAATATTACATACCCAAGCCTGAAATAATCACCCCCTAACAAGAAGTGTAGGGAGAGAAAGAAATATCACTACCCTCTTCTTGAAGGTTTCTCACAGAAAATAATTAATATTACATGGATGACTATTATTAATCTGAAGAGTGACTAATTTATGGTAAGAGCATCATTTTTGTTGAAATATATTATTAATATAAGATTTAACAACCCTCACCAAAAACTATATAAATAAAGACCTTGAACAAGTCACCCCAAAGGAATAAATCTAATTAAGGTTTGATGTAATCTTGATTTGATTGATTATTGAAATAAATTTATTGAACTTTTAAAAATAAAAAGAAAAATCGCCCCAAAGGGACAAATCAAAGTTTCAGAAATTAACTAGCAGAGTTCCTCTGATACATGGGCTGGTGTTAAAAGATGACCAACTTAAGAATTGTGCTGATCAGTCAATGGTCCCACCGTGTGAATTTTGTTAAATGTAGAGACAAGGGTATCAAATAGGATTTGTTAATGTAGGTAGCTAAGATAATCCAATCTTCTTTTTTCTTTTCCTAAATAATTTACATATTTACTGTAAAAAACGACACAACTATAATTTACATTGTTTTTATGTCATGGGTGTAGGTAAATAAGAGAAAAAGAAAAAGAAAACTCTGCACTTTAATCTAGTAAATGTTATCTCTCACATTTCTTTAGAACTGGCACTTACATCTAGTGAAGTGCGTGCAGCATTTCGTGGATAGGGATGGCAATTTTTCCTATTTCCCTAATTTCTGTGGGAATTCGCCCCGAATGAGGTGGGGATGGGGATGATTTTTTCTCCGTAGGGACGGGGATGGAGAAGTTTTCATCCCCGTTAGCGGGGATGGGGCAGGGACGGGGAGAGCACTCCCCACGAGGTGGCTAACCTTGGCACGTACATCTATATATTAATATTTTTAAAAATATGGTTGAATATATTTGAATCTTTTCTAATAGGATTGTAAATATTAGTTATTTTACTTTTATTTTTTAAATAAAATAAAAAACAAAAGTAAAATGGTTAGCATTATAAAAAATCACGGGGAATGGGGATTCCCACGGGGATGGAGGTCCCCGTGGGGATGGGGATGGGGATAACCTTGTCCCTGTTATCGGGGAAGGGGATGGGGACGGGGATGGAGAGATTCTCCCCGTCCCCGCCCCGCCCCGTTGCTAACCTTGTCCCCTTTAGGTTGGAGGTTAATGGTTCAATTGACCGGTTCAGACAAGTCAGATTGTAATACGTTATCAATATATTTATTATTTATATTAGGTGTAATTTATAATTTTATTTCAGTTTTTAATAGAGCTTGGAAAACACACACACACACACACCTATAAATCAGGCCGTGCCCGACTTGGGTTTTCAGGCCTAAGGGCCAGCATGGCATGGCACGACGTGGGCTGTACTGGCATGGGCCCATGGCATGGCATGGCCTAGTCCAGCCCAGACCGTGGCACGACCCATATATATTATATGTATAACAATTATCTAATAATATATAACATAATATATTATATATATATTTTTTTATTTTCAATATTATTTTAAAATTTTATTCCAATTGTATTGTAGTTTTTTAAATTCTAGTTTATTATTGCATATATAAACAATTGTATACATCAAGGTTCATATATAATAAAATTGTAAGATTTTTTCAAATTTTAATCTATTTTGTTAATTTATTTTAAAATTTTCATTATTTTTTTTCAAAATTTTAAAAAAATATATATCACTCATGGCTTGGCCCGGTCCACAGCCCTGCCTGGCCCAAGGCTTGGCCTATTGTTACGGTTCAAAACAGGCTTAGCCTTGCCTACTTTTGGCAGGCTTACGTTAGGAACATGACCGTCATTTTCGCCTGTAAGATTTTTGGGAGAACTAATGTTATCTTCAGGCAGACCACCAAAAGCTTAACGTACTCTTTGAGGAGGGGTAGTTGACCTCCTTGGGTGCCTAACCTTGGCACTCCTAGACCATTATCCCCTTGCGGGGCGGCCCTGGTTAATGGCTAGCATGGCTACCAGGGTTCCTCATGGGCGCACACTTGCTCATGGGGACAGTGTTGGACCG